TGTGCCACATCTCAAAAATCTCGGCTTATCTCACTTCAGTCTCCGAACGTCTTAACCTGTTACTTTGACTTGTTTTGCTTTGCTGTCCAACTTGCCGTCCAGACAGCGCGCGCATCAAACTTAGGGATCAAACGGCTACGTAGGGATCTTCGACCGTGGGGGCATGCAACTGAAGATTGGCTGCTGATTTGCGCATGCTTCCCAACTGTGTGGGAGTTTGACGTAATACAGGTGTCAATGATGGCCCCGGGTGCCTCTCTCCATGTCGTATCTCATTAAACCACTTCGGTCGAAGGCATGAGCGGCAAACGGAGATTTGGGATAGATCAAGTCCGAAGGCCGACGAATCTCTGAGTGGACATGATTGCCGTATAAATGAGAGTTGTCCCGACAGTCTGGTCATTGGCCAAAGCAAGCTTGCACATTCACACTATCCTGGCTCCAACGGAAGAAGCACCTCGAGAAGCAAACAAGGTCCGCCACTATGAACGCTACCCCGGTTCCAACACAAAACCTTCAGATGTTTTCCAAAATACATCACCCAAGCTAGCAACTGCGTCGCAGAAGGCAAATTAAGTCCGCCGAAGCAAACGCCACCCTGGTTCCAACACGAAAACTTCAGAGATTTTCGCAGCGAAACATCACCCCGGTCGCGACTAGCGTCATGAAGCTTCCGTCCACGATCAATCCGGGCGCTCTACGCGCCAGGATTGACGAGACCTAACTTTGGTCGGTCCTCGCAAATGAGACCATTCGCACGAACCCATCAGCACTTAGCGCCATTGCGACGTCAAGGTTTCGCGAGCCAGTTGGGAGTCAAGTTTGTCTTTCAAGACGTTGATTCCGTTGAGCCTTCAGAGGACCACCTGCGTAACCGATCTCGCGTCCGTTGGGTTGATAAGCTGCCCAGCTCGAGGAGTACATTGCCTTTCCCGCGTTTGGCTTGTCTGCTCCGGCTGCAGAACTCCGGTCCGACTTGATTTGTCCAACACATCCGCGAAACACTGCAGAACTTACCTCACATCACGACAACGATGGACCTCTTTGAAGTCCGGACGGCAGTGGAGCGGTTCGTCTGCGATCTGAATGACATTCGCCGCCGCGCAGAAGAGCGGGAAATTGCTGCTAAGCGCGACCTGGATCAAGAGGCACCGGCACTCCAAAGAAAGATCAGTGCCCTGCGCAAGCTAAAGACACAGCTAAAAGAGGAACTGAATGCGCGTCAACAAAAAGGATATGATGATGCCCGCCAGCGACTGGCAGAGATCGAGAAGGCTTACGATGCGTCTGTTCAGCATAGGCTTATGGTCTCGGCCTTGCCAAGCACGCAGACTT